CTACAGGGACATCCTCTGTGGAGGAAAGATGATTGGGTTGGCCTGTGGAAGAAGCTGCTGCATACATGTGTGCTACGAAAAGAATCAGCACGTTTATCAAGGCTGCTCTCCAAGAAGCTCAAAACCGACAGAACGACAGCTTTGGAGACCTTGGCGGCACAACAGCCACACATGTCTGCTGTTGCTTTTCAAAAGGCACTCAAAGCGATGGGGGTACAAGGCCGAAGGAGGCCATCCTCCATTAAGCCTCTGCCGGTTGTTGGAAATGAGCAAGGGGAACCTCTCCCTACTTATCAACCAGTTGCCAATCGATGGAGAGATTACTTTTGTGAGCAAGAAGACGGGGTCCCCATCAGTGCACTGGAGCTATTTGATAGAAGGCAAGGCGGCGTAGATGATCCTGCCGATGCGCCTACTTGGACTGACATCCCTTCCTTGCAACAAATTGAGTACTACTGCTGACAGACAAGAAGTGGCAAGGGGTACTTCATCGACGGAGTGCCGGGGGACCTTCTACATCAAGCACCAGTTCAGATGGCCCGCCTAGTGTACCCTTTGTTTATGAAAACACTGACACAGCTACGTGAGCCCATGATCCATAAGGGCGGCCGACTTGTCCCCTCCTACAAACGGGGAGACCCTTCGCAATGCCAAAGCTACCGATCACTGTTCGTTAGTAGCCCGATAGGTAAATTGCTACATGCATACTATCGTGCCGAACTAGTCAAAGTCTTTGGCGGTAAGCTACCGATGCAGATAGGAGGCCTTCCTGGCATGGCAACCACACAAGCAGCAATGAGCCTGTCCTTGTACCATAAGATGTGGCTTCGCCGAGGACATGGGGTTGCTGTGCTGTTCATTGACGTGGCCAATGCGTTTTACCGCCTTGTCAGGGAACACTTTGTTCGTAGCAGTGATACGGCAAGAGCAATGGAGGACATTTTTGCCAAACTGAACATACCCCATGAGGCATGGGTAGAGTTTGTTGGACAGATCAAGCAAGTACCGGCTATCGATCAGACTGATGCTACGCCATTCTTGAAAAAAACTGTTCGCTGAATTTTACCAAGATACATGGTTCATGGTGGAGAACTCGGATAAGCTTGTCAAGACGCAAAGGGGCTCACGTCCGGGGGACTCTTTCGCGGACATTTGCTTTTCATTTGCACTGTCTAAAATCTTAGCAGGAATAGAAGAGCAGATCTTGCAACTGTACCCAGAGCTTCATACGTCGTGGGATGGACATGACTGCCCATGGCAAAGAGATGAGAAGCATATGAGATTGAGTTTAGTCCTACCAATTTGGGCTGATGATATTGCGCTAGCTGTCCATACGCCTTGGCCAGACACACTACTAGAAATGGTACAGGTGATAGCTGGACTGGTGTTTGACCGATTGTCATCAGCAGGCCTTCAACCAAACCTAGGGCCAGGCAAGACGGAGGTTGTTTTTGATGTAAGAGGAAAGGGGGCAATGCCTGTTCGACGAAACCTGCATCAAGCTGACTACCTCATCCAAACAACTTCCAGTTTTGTCAAGCAACAGCTGCGAGCAGTGCCGGCATATAAGCACTTAGGGTCATGGATCCGTATTGGTGCAAAGATCAACCTTGATCTGAAGGTCAGATTTGCCGTGGCACACAGCACTCTCACGAAGTTCCGCCAGCAGATCTTTTCGAATAAAGCGATGGCACTGGCCACTAAAATGCAGTACGTGCAGAGCTTGATCATAAGTGCTATGCACCACCACGCAGCATGTTGGTTGCCAGATACAAAGCGGGAGTGGAATGCTTTAAGCAAAGGACACACTAAGCTTTTTAAGCGCATTGCTTACATGCACTTCGGACCTTGTGTACAGCAATGGACAGCGGAAAAGGTGCGCTGCGAACTTGGAGTTCTGGACTCCCATGGATTCCTGACTGAAGCGCGGCTGCGGTTCTGCCTACAGCTTGTATGCAAAGGTATCCCACATTTGTGGGCTCTGATCCAGGAAGAAGGAAAATGGAGAGACAAGCTAGTTTTAGATGTGGAATGGCTGAAACATTATTGCCCAGAACCTGAATTGCCCACTGTGACAGCTGAGACTTGGGTTGAATTTGCGACATCCCTAAAAGAGTCTCCCGGAAAGTGGAAGGCGTGCATCCGCAGGGCAATCAAACGGGCCGTTTCGTCACGTCAAAGAATCGCAGCATGGAATAGATGGCATAGTGACATTGCTCAAGAGGCTCGACAAGCTGGACTATGGACACCCTTGCCGCGGGTCAGTGAAGATGCTGGCTATTTCTGTTTGAAATGTGCCAAGGGATTCGTGAGTGCAGCAGCCTTGTCAGTCCATGCTTTTAAAATCCATGACAAGAAGAATGATATGAGGCACTTTGTACTTGGAAACCAATGCGAATCATGCCTCAAATTGTATGCGACCAACATCGATCTAGTTAATCATACTAAGACCCAAGCCCAATGCAGAGCTTTCTACCTCACTCGAGGGCAACAGGTTGATCCATTGCCGGGAGTGAATAGTAGGAATGCCACTCAGAGACTTACTGATTGGCACATGCCCTACATGCAAGCAGAAGGCCCACGGTCCCTCCCTGTTGTTCCAGAAGATGCCTTCGATGTACAGCAGCAGGAGCGAAACATACTATACCAAAGATGGCAACAAGCAGTCATCCAGACTGCATTTGTGCCAGAACAGCTACTGGAAGCCTTACGACTTGCGACCATGGAAACGACACTATTTCCCAACAAGGTCCTTGAGGCTTTCTGTGCATGGAGTGATCAATGGGCAGATGAGCATGAGGTAACAAGCTTAGCATTTTTGCAGGTGGCTCAGCATTATAAAGCAAGCTTTCGTGCCGAGTGGTTTGGCATTGTTGTCGACCGACAACATGACGATGCTCACAGCATGGCCCAATTCGATGTGATGGCGGCAGATCTGCAGGTGATATGTGCTAGGGTACCCGAAATGCCAGAATTCGATGTACAATTTCTTGCACATCTTTTTTCAGGGCATCGAAGGGAAGGAGATCTGCAATGTGCGTTGGAGGAGCTGGGATATCGCACACTGTCCATCGATATAATATTCGACTCCGAACGGGGAAACCTTCTACGAGGTGACACATTTCGTTTTTTCCATAAGGCACTTCACAAAGGCTGGATCCGAGGATTCGTATGTGGTCCTCCGTGCGACACATGGTCTAAAGCTCGCGCAGTAGCGGTACCTGGAGGACGACACCCTCGCGTTGTCCGGACAGGTGCAAGACCATACGGTCTCGATGACCTGACCAGAAGAGAAGCGCTACAGGTCATGATGGGGAGTGACTTGCTGGGGGTTGCTTTGCGGCTCATGTTTGCAGCTATCCTCAGCGGAGCCATTGGTGTCCTAGAACACCCGGAAGACGATCCCGATGATCCACGAGCTGCGTCAATTTGGCGCCTGAGTATCATCCGATGGCTACAGCGATTCGCCAAGTGCGCTGTTGTGAGAGTGCTCCAAGGATATTACGGAGGCCTTACACCAAAGCCTACCAAGCTAATGTTCACGAACGTGAGTTCAGAGGTTGAAAAACTCCTCTTTGAACATAGGACCACGGCCCTGCCACGAGCGCAGGCAATAGGAAGGGAGGCGGATGGATGTTGGGCCACTGCCAAACTCAAGGCCTACCCAGCTGGCCTGTGTAAGGCACTTGCGGCAGTTTTCCATCACATGCTGCCGCCTGCTGGGTTGAAGTCCCACCCTGAGGAGTTTACTGAGTTCGTTCAGAACCTGATCGCTGAGTTCAACATGGAAGCTAAGCAGGGGCCGGACTTCAACCCAGAGACTGCGAGGGCTGTAAATTAGGTGCAAAGACGCCACGGAAGAGAGACCTTCTAAGGCAATGGAAATGGAAAAATAGGTTGTTTTTTAATGTAATGCATGTAACATAAGTAAATGTATGAACAATGTATCATGTAGCACATGTGTTTAACATGTAGCATAATACAGCATGTTACACATTGTTTACATCCAAAAAAAGCTGATGTCGCCCAATGTCGCTTATCAAAGCCCTTAGCAGGCATTCTTGGAGGGGTGAAGCCCAGAACCGCTGACTGGATAAACCAAACCAAAAAAATAATCATTCAGAGCTAGGCTAGCTAGGTATGTGGAATCACAGCAAGTGACCATCAAGACAGCCAATTGATTCTCACAAGTGATCCCATGCTTCCCACAAGTTCAACGTGCATCGATTCTTCCAATGGACCGCCAGAAATTGCGAACAACGAAAAAAGAAAACCGCTCCGCTCTCGAAAAGGCCAAGACTGACAAAAGCACAAACACTGATCCCGTTGGTTTGTTCATTGTTTGGTACTGAAATGCATTGAACCCAACCAGCAAGGTTCTTTATGTTGTGATTCAAGTCCATTAATTCCTCATCACCAAGCCTGCCCAACTAAAAAGTTTGAATAGAACTATAGACTATAGTGGTCAGTGGTCCCCAAATAGATAGACACGGTTTCCATATGGTTTTTGAAAGGGGTTCTATATGATATATGATACTACTGTTCTACCTATTTGGGGGTCCAACAAACGTCTTTGTTTTTCTTCATTCCTCCTTCCCATTAAGTGCTACCGATCGGTCCTGGCCTCGTTGAGGACCTGTTTGATCTCCAGCTGCTCCTGGGACGATCGGACGCGTGGCGGCCGACGGTGTAGAGTGACACAACTGAAACCACGGGATTAACGATATGTCTTGAAATGACGTTGTAATGCTTATAACGTGGACGAAATGCGGTGCTAAGTGCCGGTGCGAGTGGCGGTGCTAAGTGCCGGTGTCAGATTAAGGTAAAAACGGGGTTTTGCATATAATGCCAAAACGTGGTGCAATGCACTGGTGCAAGAGTTACGTTCAAAAAAATGAACAAAACTGCATGAAATACATTGGAGAAAACAATCAATATATCTCCATCCACATGCCCTATTTTTCACCAAAGCGCCACTGGTAGCTACTGTGCAAAACAGGTCATTTCCAGAGTACAGTTCCAGGCTTAGACTCATACAAGCGCTGCAATTCCGCAACACTAAACCCTGACCCGGCATGCGTGATGGTGGGCCATTGGTTGGCCAAATGTTCTGGAAAATCTGAATTTGAGTCAATGGATGGTGTATCCGATTCTGATTCAGAACCACAACCATTCTCACTCAAGGAAATAGAGCCAGAGGGACCAGGTGCCCTTGGCAAACGAAATTGCGCTCTAAGATTTGTTGCCAACAGCACGGCTGCTAGGCATGCACCTACCACAGGCACCCCCATAGCATTTCCTGGGCTCACAAAACTCAAATGACTCAGACAGCGCAAACAAGTGTTTTTGTGCTTGTTGACCGCTCACTGCACCGCTTTCCGTTTACCCATTTGCTTTTCAACACAACAAAGCAACATAGAATAATTGAATTGAAATTGAAATAACTATACTATAACTATTTGAGAAAATGTTCCTGGTTGTTATAGCTCAAGCTCCAGCAAGCCCGCTGTAGAATGACCGCTTGGAATTTGATCGAAAAGATATCTTCTCCAGGCAAAAGCCGTGCCTGGGGCAATTCTTTATGATAAAATGCTACACTACTCATTTGACTCATATGGAACGACTCAACGCTGCAGAGCACAAAGCGAAATATGGAAAACACAGCCAAGTAGCAGGGCCATCAGGTGAGGTGGTGTAAGGAGTCTGTTTGAACGAAAGTCGTACACCTTCGAGTTCGTAGTGAGCCTCAGAAGAAAAAAAACGTTGCGCTGACGACAACACTTGGTTTTGTTTGGTGGGTATCGGCACAAGAGGGCTTGAACATTACCAAGTCTTGTCCTGTCTTGTCTTATTAGTAATAGTAGTAGTAGTTGTTGTTGTTGTTGTAGTTGTAGTAGTACTAGTCTAGTAGTAGTAGTAGTTGTTGTTGTATTAGTACCAGAAACAGTAACAGTAACAGTAAAAGTAGCAGTATTGTTATATAACTATTACACCATTTCACGCCAAGTCAAGTAGTATGAGTTGACCATCCAGGACACTTGCTACACCACTGGTAAATAGCAGTTCCTACCAGGTTTGTAAAGACCGACACAGTGTTTCTATATGTTTATTTTTTTGTTCCTCTCCCTCTCATCAGTATACTATATTATATATTTGTCTGTCTGTGTCTGTCTCTCTCTCTCTGTCTCTCCCTGTCTCTTTGGCTTTCACCCCAGAAAGAACCCAGGGGATAAACAGAATCTCAGTTGCGTTGGCGCAAGACCATCTGATCGCCACGCCTTCCGGCTCAAACTCTTGACTACGTCAGTGATCATCCGATCTCTGTATTGCACCTCAAGAATCAGCCAAAGAGTCCGGCGATGTTTCTCTTGTAGACAGAACATGGCCAATTTTTCCAAGTGATGTCCCACCCCAACCTATGAGGAGGTGAATCAAGGCACCTCCATCATTTGATACAAAATGTCCAGCTGTTCAATCTCACGACCATTGAGACCACAAGCCCATGAATCTCCTTGCTCCTTCCGGCACTTCAAAGAGTACCTCGAAGCGTCCCCCCCAAAAAAGGACATGGACATTTGGAGTTAGAGTGAAAGACACACCGAACGAAACCGCAAAAGTGACAGATGCAGAAAGGCCAGGGCACGCCCGATACGCTTCATTACTGGAGCCCTCGAAACCCAATTCAGCCTTCTTCTTGTCGAACTCTGCCCGTAACTTTCCCGAAGTCACTGGTTGGAACACCTAAGTTTAGACGCACGGTTTCAACGGCACTGAAGCCGTTTTTGGATTGAGAAGAATTGGCCAAGAAAGCGTCAAAAGCTGTGAGCTGTGGCATCGCTCAAACCAAACAAACTGTCATAGACATAGATAGAACTTCTGCGCAGTTGGTTTTGCTCTCGTGAGCTGGCGCGCGTTCGTTTCTGTCAAAAGTTTTGCGCGCAAGCCTCTACAAGCGGGAAAATGAGCTGGCTGGCGGCCGGTGAAGGACAGTGGGCCCACAGCGCCCCCAAAGGACAAACCTTTTGGTTAGTTCACGTCACTGCTCCGATTCAAAAAACAAAGCAACCCAAAACATATATCTTATATCTTAGTCTTAGTCCATCTAAGTCCTCAACTACAGAAGAAGCCAGTGACCTTACCGGGCCAGGGACCTAAAGTGAGATTGAAACTCTGCAAATGCTGTGCCAGGAAAGCAATGCTTGCTTGCGCCACATTGGACTGGCACTCCCATGGCCAGCCCTCAGGGCATACCTGTGCCACGCCTTCCGAACAGCAACTGCAAAGTTTGGCAACGATGTGTGGCGGCATGCATTGAATAGTGATGAGTTGGTCATGCATTGCACGCGCAACATGCCGCTGGCTGGTAGAAAATCACATCCTGAATCATGATTGCTTGGATGCTGAATCGGAGCCACTGCGCTGTTTCTTCTTTTGATGTTCAGCGTCAGATTTTGCTTCAGCATCGGAGCTCTCAGCAGCCTTCTCGACTGCAGCTTTGCCCTTCACATCCTCCGCAACCAGTTGTGCGAGACACGCGAACTTCAGAATATAGTTTAAGTTTATACCATAAGAGTACGATGTCACATATCATATCTATTGTCTATTGTCTTATCTTTTAGTGCTTTGCTTTGTATTTGTTTGCCTGGTCTAGAACATATCAACCCATGTCCTTGACTGTCTTTTTCCCAAACAGTTCTACGTCAAGCCGCTTCGCAACTACAAGGCCACTGACCTGACTGAGTAGTAGGCAGCCTTGATCTGCATCCGGAAGTTGGTGAAAGGGATTTCCCCGTTTCTTCTGCTTCAGTGCTTGGTTGGATCTGGTGGTCCGAACAGCTGGCGCTTCAGCTACTAAGCCAAAGTTGCTTGAAATGAACAGCTGATTTGGGTCTGGTGGCTGGTCAAAAGGATTCTTCAATTCGCACAGCAGCTCAATTGTCCTTTCCTTGCATTCTACAGCATTGGTTTGAGCTGGCCTTGATGCAACCAAAGTAAGATTGTGTGAAAGAAAAAGCTGACCTGCATCTGGAGGTTGCTGAAATGGATTGCTGTTCACCTTTTGCTTGGCCAGCGTTTTGGTTGCCTTCCGGGGCCATAGGCAAGAATTGCAAGTCAAATTGACTAGAAAACTACTTCCCTAGGATCCTAGGATTCATAGCAATGCAAAAATCAATTTTGCGTGTTTCCCATGCATTGATTGAACAGCCCTGCTGCTTGTATCCCTGATCCCGATCCCTGCTGAAAAAAGATTGGATGGACGCACTATGCAAGGCAAAAATCAGACACAGCAACCCAACTTCAGGTTTGAGTCGGCAAAATACAAGTGCGGATATTACTGTAGTTCATACTAGTTAACATAACTTAACTATACTATATTTATTATACAAAAAGTTATATACATCATATATCATGTATCTGTATCTGTATCACTGTATCTGTATCACACCTCACCTATCTTAAAACAATCCAATTCAATCTCTCGCTCCTTGTGAAATTTCTCCAGCACATTGTTCAGGTTCGCTGGGATTTGCTTCTTCTGAAGCTTGAGTGTCCCAGTCAGGAAGCCGTTCATTTTCTTGACGTCATTGAGAATCTGCTGATGGCTGGCCGGCGTCACTTTGCGAAGCATGATGTCAGCAGCCATGCAACAGTACAAAGCCACTGCAAACTCTTGACCACTCGGAGGTTCGGCCATGTAGTTCATGAAGGTTGTGAGCACACCAGCTTGCTTCAGTTGGCTGTCCTTCAACAAGTCCTCCTTAAAACCAAGGATCGCTGATCCCAAAGCCTCTGCCTCATAGAGCCCACTCAAGCCTGAAAGGGCAAGGCAAGGCCATATAAAGTGCAATGCAATGTTCTGCCTCCAAAATTGGGTAATTCGAGTTTTTGGATTGGGACAGTCAGACACACACACACACACCGCCCAATTCCCGACCTTGCACCGCATCTTTCAACGTGTCGTGGTTTGCGTTGATGCTCTTCACGGTCTCAATGACTGTTCCATCAGAGAGGAAATCATGGGTTTGGAGAACCACATCCATCACAGGCCGCATAGACTCATACAGCGGGGCCAAGTCCTTCCTGCCCTGATTCACTCTTTCTGTCACTGCTGCAATGGAGTCCTCAAGCTTCTTTCGGCAAGCGGTCATCAGCTCAATGGCTTTTGGGTGGCTCAATGCATCGTTCGACTCATTGACAGCAATGACATCAAGAAAAGCAAGAATACCGTGTTGCACGCTCGCTTTGTCTGCCCAAACAGTGCCGACACCCTCTGAAGATGTTTTTTCGAAATAGTCAATGTGTCTCAGCACACGCAGCTGTCGCTCCACGCTGGAACCCAGTTGGGAGCGCACTGAGCTCTCCAGGGCGAGCAACTCATTCATCAAACCTGTGTCGACAAGTGAGCGGCACCAATTGGGAGGCCTGTCTTCCAACTTCTTTGGAAGTGCAGCCATGGATGTTGCCAGCTTTACAAAGGCCAGCGGAAGTGCAATCTTTGCAGTTGCACCTCAGCTTTACAAAAATCCATTGATCAAGCAAACAGGTTACCACAATGTCAAAACAAGTTCATACCCAGCATGTTTGCTAGGCTGCTAGAAAGAAAACGCTGCGCAGATCCCTGGCCATAGCTCATAGCTGAACCCAAACCCTGCTACTGCTATCAATAAATGCAAAGGCAAAGGCACATTCCTCAATGAAGTCCGTCACAGATCGCAACATCTTCGAATTCTGAAGCTTGAAGATCGCCATTGCTGCATTGGTGAAGGAGTCCACGTTCAGCTCGTCCTCACATTGTTTGAGCTTTGCAAGGAGCCAAAGGACGTCGCTCACAACCAGGCCAATAGCTGATGCTGCGTGCTCACGAACGGATGGCCATAAATCCACCTGATGGCCACGAATAGAAATTTGAAATTTGACATAATTATAATATAATTATAAGACTTATAACTTTACCAAAAATTAAAATAGTCTGCATTTCCCAATTTGTTGATTCATTCAATCTTTGACCCAATATCTGACCCAATCTTTGTCCGATCCGTCCTTGAAGGCTTTGAAGACCTTGATCATGCTTTTGACTAGCCCGGGGCTGCGGAATTCGACAAGAGCACTCTTGTAATTAACACGGTCGATGATGTTCGTGATCTCGTCAATTGCTTGAAGGAGATAGTCTTGCAAGAACTCAGATAGACGCTTCACCTCCCGAACCAACACCATGACATGGGTGTCTGCGCCGGTAATCGCGTTGGGCTGCTCATCAAACCTGTCTTTCAAGCCCTTGGCTGTGATGATCTTGTCCACAACGTGCTTCTCACCATTCTGAAATAACTCCAGCACTGCCTCTACACCACCCTTGTTAATCGCCAGGTCAATTGCATTCGTGGGATAGTCAGCCAAGAGCGCTTTGCACTCCTCTGCTAGACTGCCACAGGGAATCACTAGGCGTGCTGCTCCTTCCATTCGCTGCCACCAAGTCCTGAACAAGGTGATAGAAAGGCCGAAAGACCTCACTAGCAAATTCTGGTACCTACACTTCTTAAAGAAAAGAACAAGAAGAGATCAAGAATGTGCCGGGTGAAATGCCAGTGCACTTAAGGAAACTGATCTTGGTGAAGGTTGTGAGCTTTGCACTCAGCATTGATTTCCGATCTGCTGCTGCTTTGGCCAAACGATTCTCCAGTGGTGTGCCGCCGGTCCCGTCCTGCCAAAGGGCTCAGGGAACGCTGGGTTGAAAGAAATCGGTTGACAGGACTTCAAACAAACAGAGAGTCACACATGGTCACATGGTGCTGTCCTGAGGGAATTGGGTGGCTGCAATCCTCAGCATTTGAATTTCAAATGCCACCGCGTTTGAGTATCCTGTAGTAGCGCCTGGAACTTCAGAATGCTGAGTTGGGTTGAAGTCCGAAGGCAAGGACGCCAACTCCATGGTCGGCACAGGAAGCCTGAAGGCTGACCAAATACATCAACATCAAAACACAAGACTGACATGCGCTGCATTGGTTTTGAGGTACGGTATATTGGCGTGACAAATATGTATCTTGACAGGAACAGTGGGAACACCTGCGCATTCAGGAAGCAAAAGCGTGCTAGAATTTAGCAAGCAACGCTTGCAAGCAAGCTCTCACTTTGGGTTCATTCTTTGACCTGCAAATCTTGTCGTACCACATCCCCAGCAACTGCGTTTGCAAATTCAGGGCTGGCTTCAAAGGGTCCTGTGTCTCCAGAGGCACGTCGACCATGGCCAGGCTGCTCAAGAGCTTAGCCTCCCTTTGCAAAGCCTCAATGTGCTGGTGCAACGTGAGATGGTTGGAGCTTTCCATAAAGCTCATCATTGCGAAGTACTGGCTCGAGGTGTCAGCATCCTGCTGGATAGTTGCGCAGTCAGAACTGAGAAAGGTTAAACTGAGAAATTCTGCCGTGTCAATAAGAACATGGAACATTGATTTTT